GGCGGGCTACACATCGCACAAAATCTATCAAACCTATTCGTATCTCGCACATCCCTATCTGACAGAATTTTGCGTGAATTAACTTCTCGACTTTTCTGAAAAGTTTCCGTGCCTTGATGTAACGAGGCGCATTTATTTACCTGTTCAGATCCTTTACTGATCATACTAGGAAAACTCGTGTTCTCGTCACTCTGCACCCGAAAATCTTTCAATGTCGAGCTACTAAACTCGCCCTTAAACGTATTTCTAAATTCTACTGTTTCCTTGCTGCCTTTTTCAGGATTTTCATATTCTATAAATACTGCACGCTTGACTTTAGTCTTTGCTTTCAGATATTCCCTATTACCTCGTCTAAAAGAGGAGGAGCAAAACCGGCAGTTTTTGCTTTGTATTCGCCTTCTTCTTTTATCTCAACTCTATTTCCTCTACCTGAAGTGCCTTTGCTTTTTGGGCAAAGCACTTTCTCTACCTCAATAGCCCGCTCAATCCATTTTAGGCAGGAGTCATCGAGCAGTCGACGGCTCCCGGGCTGAGGTTTCCCTGCTTCACCTGGTTACAGGTAGGGCAAATTCTAAACACGTAATCGATTGTTCCACAAACCTGGCAATATAATATCGGCTCTAAAATTCGCGTCGGGCAGTTATTAGCATAATGCCCAGGTTGTCGGCAGTTATAACAAACTACCCGTAGATTAACCTGAGCTATCGGGCATTGCGCCCTCCTATGTCCCATCGCGTTGCAATTGAAACAAGCCTCCGTAAATGGCCTATTTGAATTGCTACCTCCCTGATTGCACTGCTGCGGGACTAGACTAGGGGCTACACCTGCAGCCGGAACCAACGAAGCCTGCGCGCTCTGACGAGCAGGCGTAGCTTCGTTCGCAGGCTGGTTTATTACCTGTGGCTGTTGCCTATCGGCAGTAGCCACGGCAACTTCACCGTTCTGCTTCTTGCCCTTTTTACCTAGCTTCTTGCTTCGCTGCTGCGCTTTCTTTTTAGGAGGTTCAACTGTTAAGACCTCGTCCATGGCATCGTTTAAACCATCGATGGTTTCAACCGATTTTTGCTTACCGGGAGACTTCTTCGTATCTGCGTACGCGGATTCCGGAATTAGTGTTAGAATCAGCCGCCAGCGGCTTTTGCTGTCTTTTCCAACCGCCCATGCAATCTTTGAGCACCATACCCGCTTCTTTAAAACTATTTAGATCAGAGATGGTCTTAGTTTCAAGATATCGCTTATATCTTGGATGTAGACCCTATATAATTATAGCTAACTGGCGTTTCACCGAAACCGGCGGATCAAAACGGCGCAAAATCGTCTGAAAAGCCGCAACATAGTCCGTAATTTTCTCATTCTCGCCCTGTGTCCTTTGACGCAATTCACTGTAAAGTTGTTCTCTATTTAATCGCCGACAGAATTCGCTAGAAAAACTCTTTTTAAAGTCTTTCAGCGTCTTCCACATACCATGATTAATTTCGTACCACGGACGCGCCTTATCGCGGAATGCGGTGCCTATTGCTATCAGCATTTCTTCATCCGAGATACCATAATAGCGCTGGCAATCGCTCAAGCTTGATAAAAAACTTAGTGCGTTTGTACTATCCTTACCGGAAAAACGAAGAGACCAGGCATTGAGTGCGCTTAGTCCATCCGCAGGTATACCATTTATATACTTGACTCTTGGAGGAGCACTCTCTTTGCTCGGTCTTTCCGCTTTTACTTGCCTAGTTTTCCGCGGCGATTTAACTTTATAAGTGTTGCAACTATCAGTGTCCGATAAACTCAAGCTTATGTCGCTTTCACTAATATTTTCTACCTGTCTCGCCTGCTTTTGTTTAGGTCGCCTTACACTAATTACGATTTTCTCGCCTATAATCAAATCTCCACCTAATGGAGCTGGTGTTCGCGTCTCTTCTTTAGTAGCTGCCCGTACCTCGCGCTTCCAGTCTTCAACCCACGAACTTACTCTAGGCGCGTGATATTTCGTGTTCGCCGATCTACTTGAATCGGCATAGAGGAACGTACTACCTGTCCTATTGTTTGGTGCGTTCGCGTGAGCCGATGGCTCAGTCGCAACCGCTGGTACGTTTAGCGCCTCATGGTCACCGAGCGGCTTGGCCAGAAGCGGCAATGAAGCTTGCTGCTCGGCTTGAGCCACTCTGCTGTGCATCGCCTCCCTTTCAACTCTAAAAACCGTGTTCTGCGACGTCTGTAACACCTTGCCGCACTTCATTCTCGCCTATATATCCAACGCGGTACTACTGTGAGGGACCCCCAAATCTGACTTATCGCACTAGTGCTTCGCTTACCTTGGTTTTGCGCGTCTTATTCGCGTGCGCGTTCGATCTTGGTGAACGAACCGCCATCGGTAACACGTCGTTAATACCGAGCGCAACTGCATTTTCGCCCGGTGGCCGAATTTGCTCACAAGGAGCGGCAACACCTGCTCTTGTTTGTGTGGTCTGCTCTTGTTCACATGGTAATTCGGCCGCCAAGGGCGCTGCAGCTACCGCAAACTCTTCGCCCAGGTTCGCGTTCGGCGCGCTGCTTACCGTTGTTTCTTGCTGTTCGTCGTACAGTTTCCGGGATTCGGCCTGACGCGAAATCGCCCAAGCGCAACGGTAGCTGCAAATTTGGCCGCTCTCTTAACAGCATATATCGTAAATACCAAGTTCGTAACTCTTTAAGATCACCGTGCAAGCTAATTTCGCGATAGCGCATTAATTCCAACACAGCAGCCGGTTTACTCGTAATTTCTTTGCATGCCCATCGCGTAATAATCTGCGCATAACTATCCTATCTCTACAGGCTAGCGAAATTATTTTTTCTGAAAACGGAAGTCTGTAAATTGACTACGAGGCGAGCTTATAGGGGCTAAACAAGTCTCGACCGATCCGTGTAACCTGACAACTTACTGACTAATTTCTTTCTAAGCTATAAGCCGGCAATAAATCGCCTTGCTTACGCCTATAGAAAAAAATTATAATGTATCAAAATTTACTTACCGTAATATTTGAATAGGCAGTTTTGTAAAATTCTTAAAACAAAGAAAAACTAAAACGAGACAAGAACGCATTCGCATCTAATGTCAAAGCGACTCAATGACGCACCGTGGTCACCTGACTCCGACACTAAGAAAGGTCACTAGCAACTGTCAACAAAGATTTCAAAATACTGAAGCTCGAAATTCTTTAGGCACACACTTTGCCCTTAGTTCACAAAGAAAACCAATTAACCGTTATTTCTAAAATTTATGACTCAACCGTTTCTCTCCTTTGTCTCTCAATTACCAGACCCACAAGGGATGCCATGTGGCAAAATTAGCACGTTGCCATCAATTCTTATTGCGCGGGTCAGTGAGGCGCTTTTTCTCACGGCAATTGAGGCAGAAAAGAGAGGAAAGGTCATAAAATAAATAACGCAACCTAAACGTAAATTCAACTTACGACTTATTATTATTTACGAATCTTCACATCAAAATATACGCGCATACTGTACAATCTAAAATTATAACTGACCGACTAATTGTCACCGCGACTAAATATTTTATCTGTATTCTTAGTCAAATAATCTTTTACGCACTTACTCTACTACAAAAATTACTTAAAATTACGCGAAACCGACATCGGATGAATTATCCGGCACATGAGCGCCTTGACAACCCATCGCCATCTTACTATATAACTGACATACAACAATTAAAGAGAACAACGCAAACTAAACTAACGCAACCATTAATGAGGGCACTAAACAGGTAGCCGGTAGCCTAAACACTAAGCACGTACGCGCCTTGTTACCTTTATTCAATGCACATTAATAACCGCTGCCGGAGAGAGAGAGAGACCGACAGAACAAACAGAAAACCTGACCTTGAGCAATTATACTCCTCGAGCCGACGCAGATTTTCCGGAATGGGCTGTTGCAGGAGCTGCTGATTGTTACCGCAGGTCCAGATGCTGCAAGGCAGATTTGGTCCTCATTACAGGCAGGCCGACTATTGTCGCCAACCGGGCTGTTGCAAGTGGCGATAAAGCTATCCGCCCGTTGAGCTGACAGGTCATTGCAGGTGGTGATGGTGTTGTCCGCTGACTGGGCTGATTGTCGCCACTGACCACGTTGTTGTAGGTGGTGTAGACCAACCTTGCGACCGTTTTACTAACTGACAATTCGACAGCTTTCCATCGCCTCAGTATCGTTAACTCTGCCTCTCATCCGTTCAAAACCTGCACTGCCTAACGCACGCATTTTTTTTCTCGCGCTAACCGTCTCGCGGCCGCTCAGCTGCGTTCGATTCCATCCCCTCTTGGCCTATATATTAGGTGGCACGCGACGCGCCGCTTATCGGTCACGCGTCGCACGCTTGCCTAACCCTGCATAGACCTAATACTAAATCTCTCTCTCTCTCTCCCTCTCTCTCTCTCTCTCTCTCTCTCTCTCTCTCTCTCTCTCTCTTTGCGTTCCTGAACTTCTTCTTGCGCTCAGTTCCACTGGCCCGTCCTTGGCGCTAAAACAAAAGGCCGAATGTTAGGCGCATACTTTAACCCATTAATGCGCCCAACGTTGGCCACCACGCCTTGCCGAGCGGAGAAGGAGGAAGAAACGCAGACGAGAAGCCAGCGCATGGCCTGCTCTCGTCACACATCCGATGGTAAAACTTTTTTCGTGAGACATTTAATCAACACTACTAAAAAGAGCATCCTCAAAAATGTAGAGAACACTGGTTTGTAAATTTTTTTTGTTAGAATTCATTGCATGGCAACTATTCAAACGTAACTCTCGCAAAAGCATCCTATCGGCGTTAAGAAGTTAAAGAAATTATTGTTAATTTTAGAAATTTTAATTTTCTCTACAACTCTCTGAAGTATTTTGATAGAATTAAAAAAAAATAATATTCCTCTAAAATATTTTTTTAATTTTATCTGAAATATAATTTTCATTAATTTGCATATTTTACTTCATAATTATGCTTTATCATTTTTTGATTAATATTAATAACTTACTTGGATTCACATTTAATGAAATGTCCTGAAACATCTGTACCACAATGCCCATTAATAGCACCTTTAGGATTAAACTGTTCAAAACACTCTTGATCAGCAGCTATTCCTCCATATCCCCAAATTTGTTCACACTGAAGATTTATAGATGGGCAAATTCCATTGAAACAAAATCCATCACCATGAGCGCAAATATGTCCATTTTTCTTATAAACATCCGTTGGACACTGGCCATTGTCACCAGTACAGAATTCAGGTAAATCACACTCATTTGTTGCTTCTCTACAGATAAAGCCACGTTGTTGCAACTAAAATAGGAAAGTTATCGATATATTTATTATATAATTTGATAAGTTGCCATATAAAATTTCTAACTGATGCTGTAAAGCTTAAGGTTAACCAATAGTAATTATACGAGGGGGGTATATATATATAATAAGTCTTTACAAAATCCAAGAGATAGCACTCGTCACGCTTAAATTATGATATTTGTGGCAAGCAATACTACTAACTAGATATCGTACAAAGTTTCAGCTCGATTCATTAAGTCGTTTTTTTGTGAGCGTTGGTTGAACAAAAAGTTATTGGTTTATTTGAAAAATGGAAAAAAACAGAATTTCGAGCAGTGATAAAACATTTTCATTTGAAAGGCCTTACACCAAAAGAAATCACAGTTGAGTTGGACGCCGTTCATGGAAAGTCTGCCCCTGTGTTTAAGACTGTTTACGAGGTGTGTTAAAAAAATAACGAGAATTTTCGTTTTATGAAAAAAATATTTATTTATTCATCTACATTAATGTTGTCGCCTTCAAAGTAGTCCCCTTCGGATACAATACACTTATGCCAACGCTTTTTCCAATCCTCGAAACACTTTTGAAACTCGATCTTTGTAATAGCTTTTAGCTCTTTCAGCGATTCGCTTTTAATGTCATCTATGCTTGTAAAACGACGGCCTTTTAATGTTCTCTTTATTTTTGGAAATAGAAAAAAGTCACATGGAGCCATATCTGGCGAATATGGAGGCTGAGGCATCGTTACAGTTTCGTTTTTGGCCAAAAATTCACGAACAAGCAATGAAGTGTGAGCAGGCGCATTATCGTGGTGCAAAAGCCATGAATTGTTTTGCCACAAATCCGGGCGTTTTTTTCGGATTGCTTCACGCAAACGACGTTGAACTTGTAGGTAGTACTGCTTATTGATTGTTTGACCTTGTGGCAAGAATTCATAATGCACTATGCCGTTAAAATTGAAGAACACAGTGAGCATAACCTTCACATTCGACCGCACTTGTCGAGCCTTTTTCGGTCTTGGCAATCCAGAATGCCTCGACTGGGACGATTGAGCCTTAGTTTCGACATCATATCCGTAAACCCATGTTTCGTCACCTGTTATAACACGTTTTAGTAGTTCTGCATCGTTATTGACTTCATTTAGCGACTCCTGAGCAACTTCCATTCGCCACTGTTTTTGTTCGAAATTCAACAATTTTGGAACGAATTTTGCTGCCACACGTTTCATACCCAAAACATTCGAAAAAATTTGATGGCATGAGCCAACTGATATGCCAACATCATCAGCGACTTCTCTGATTGTGATTTGGCGATCGTTCATAACCATTTCTTTCACTTTTTTCACGTTTTCATCGGTTGTTGATGTGCTTGGGCGTCCGGGTCGTTCGTCATCTTCAACGTTTTCGTGGCCATCTTGGAAACGCTTATACCACTCATAAATCCTTGCTTTACTCATAGCAGACTCACTATATGCCTTTGTTAACATTTGACAAACTTTACTACACTTTATTTCATTTTTTACGCAAAATTTAATACAAATTCTTTGATCCATTTTTTTTCACAAACGAAAATCGCCGAGCTCGAAAAACACGTCTAACGTTAGCGGCTGCCACTTAAAAAGTAAGCAATGAATATTGCTGAAAATTTTATCGTACTTCAGGGGCATGTGTACCAACATAATAAAAAAAACTTTTATACAAGCGGACTCTCCAAACCCGCGAAATTAAAAAATTCTCGTTACTTTTTGAACACACCTCGTATAACTGGATAAATGAATTTAAACGCGGCCGTACAACAACAAAAGATGAACCTCGTTCAGGACGCCCCGTAGAAGTGAGTACGCCCGAAATGGTCAACAAAACTAACGATATGGTGTTGAGTGATAGAAGATTAAAATTGTGAGAATTAGTTGAGGAAACAGGGATATCAAAGGGTACAATCATTTCAATTTTGCATGAAAAATTGGGGATGAAAAAAATATGAGCAAGGTGGGTGCCGCGTTTGCTCACTGTTGAAAACAAACGAACCCGCCTGGTCACCTCTGAGGTTCCATTGGCACGCATACGTCGTAATCCGAAAGACTTTTGGCGTCGACTCGTAACTGTAGACGAAATATGGGTACACCACTACACTCCTGAAATCAAAGAACAGTCCAAACAATGGATTACCGCAGGAGAACCAGCCCCAAAGAAGGCAAAGACAGTAAAGTCAGCTGGCAAGCTTATGACCACGGTTTTCTGGGATGCGTATGGAATCTTCTATATCGACTACTTGGAAAAGGGCTAGACGATCACTGGACAATATTATGCGTCATTATTAGGTTAGCTGAAAGAAAAAATCAGAGAAAAACAGGACGTTTAAAAAAAAAATTTTTTAAATTAAATATTAAATTATTATTTTTTATTTTTTATTTTTTAAATTTTTTTTAATATTTGAACAAAAAAATGCCTCTTTCTTCAAGACAATGCTCGAATTCACACGTGTGCAGTTTCGATGGCCAAAATTAATGATTTAAAGTTCGAATTAATTGACCATCCATCATATTCACCTGATTTGGCTCCCAGTGACTTTTTCTTATTTCATAACCTCAAAAAATGGCTTGTCGGACAACGATTCACGTCAAATGAAGAAGTCATCGCCGAAACAAATGCTTATTTTGAGGGTTTTCAGAAATCATATTTTTCTGATGGCTTAAAAAAACTGGAAGGCCGTTTAATAAAATGTATCGACCTTCAAGGAGATTATGTTGAAAAATAAAAAAACATTAAATACGCAAAACTTTTTTTTCCTTCTTTTTGTAAAGACTTATTGACCCTCCCTCGTACTAATATAACTTTGAAAGCTTCGTTTATAGATATTGTAAAGTATACGAGTCTTCTAGAGATAACATAAGCATAGTTAATATTTTTATTTGTAACAAACGTATGTACATTGATAGTTAGTACAAAACAATATATTTGTGTGTGCGTGTGTGTGTGTGTGTAGTCTTGTAAAACATCATTTATGATACACGCATAAGCCATTGCTTTATATTCATGACGTATATCTCTAAAAAAACTTTAAGGGGATTTTTTTTTGTGAGGATGAGGGTAAGGTAATTAACGACGAAAAAACCGAATTTTAAAGCAATGGTTTTTCATCCGTGGGGTCAATTGGGCTATTTACCGTTAAATCTATTTTTATTACAATCTGCATTAGTGTATTTTTTTTTAAATGCTACTTAAGGAACATGAATTTGACAATAAAAATACTGTTGAAACTAATGCGATGAACGTACGAAAGGCGATTCCAACATCTGACTTTCAAGAGTGTTTTAATAAGTGGAAATATCGATATGAGCGTCTTATTCAATCAAATGGGATTTATTTTGAGGGATGCCACTTCCAGGATGATGAATTAAATCAAGCGACGAGAAATCGAGGTAGATCGGATACTTTTGGGACAGACCTCGTATGTAAATAAAAAATTAATTTTTTTTTTGAACTTCAAACATCTAAAAAAATAATAAAGATAAAAAAGTTTGTAGATAGAGAAAAGTCGTCTTTTTACATGAAAAATAAACATTTTAAGTAAAATAAAAAATTCAAAAACCAATTTTTTCTTTACTTTTTTCATGGATTAAAAAAAATAAAAATTTACAATTCTATTGAAAAATGTTTTAATTTTATTAAATAATCATGATAATCATGATATACAAACTACTTACCACTAACAAATAAATAAACAAACAAGAGATAATGCAGTAAATAAATTAGTTTTTACAATAAAAGAAAAATATGTATAATTATTTTTATAAATAAATGAAAATATAATGAATAACTACATTTTTATATAAACGAAATTTTTTTTGCATCAAAGTGACAGCTTTTGCTTTTAAAAACGATTTATCTGAAATGCTCTTTGCATCCTTTTAATAAGTTCATTGAGAGTGGTTAATAATATTTTTTTTAATTTACTTTCTAGAGCGATCAACATCATAGAAGCAGAATTACAAACAATATTTCTAACTGCGCGATCTAGCTGTTCCTAAAGCGACTCAGTAGAATTCAAGTCTGGACTCTGTTTGTATCTTTTTTTTTTAATCCTATCGATTTTTATAAGATCTTAAATTTGTGACCCTGCGAAGAAACCCCACATCATTACAAATCCTCCTCCGTGATTAATGATTGTGATAATGAAATATGAACTTAGGAACTTTTTCCCCACCCTTCTTTTTACATAAACTTTTGTTCTACTTTCAAAAATCTTGAATTTGGACTCATCACTCTAAAGAACTCTTTTCCACTGATGAACTGCCCAACCTTTATGTTATTGCCCATTTCAATCTTTTTTTTACATTTACAGGTCTTAAAAGTGGCTTTTTAACAGACACTTGACCACCAAGTTCTTTTTTACAGTTTTCAGCGTACCATATATTCGTTGACTTTATTTGTTAGGCGTTCAGTAGCGAAAACAATTATTTCAGGCACTGCTGAACGTCTGTTCCGTAAAGACATTTGGATATATTTATCTTCGTTGGCAATTTATTTCCTCGAATAATATCTATTATGTCTGTTTCCGAAACAACTCGTTTCAATAAATTTAAAAAGTTTTATAATCTACAGTACGACTACTAATTTTCAATGTCTTGGATATAGCATTATTTTATAATATGAATTTATGAAGAAATATTACGCGATAAATTTTTTGATTTAATTATACATACTGTACAAAAAAAAATACACTAAATCTTATAGAAAATGTATTCACTGTAACTGGATAATTTTTTACATACTCGTATGTGTGATGTCCGGGTCACTCTTTCACGTACGTCTAAGACGAACGTTATCTTAGGTGCTCTTTTTGGTCTTCTGGTTTGCGTAATGACACCTGAACCGGGATAAGCAAATTGGAGAGAAAAATGCTTTTAACTTCGCGAGTCCCGATTGTTTGATTACTCTACTGCAAGACTTCCGGTAAGCCCCTTGACTCAATGGAATCAGGTCATACGCGTGAATATCTCAGACCTCGCTAATATA